AGTATTTCTTGAAAATTATACGTAGATTGTTTGGGAAGTCAATTGCTTTTATTGTCACCTCAACAACGAGGTTTGTTTGGAACGCTATTCATTGTGGAATGGATGTATTCACAGTTTTTTTGTGTGACTATTTTTGTTTTTATTTCGAAATAACAGAGCGTTGATAAAATTTGCTGTAAATATTTAAATTAAATTTTAAGGAAATAACAATGACGATGGCGAAGGTGAAAGTCGAAAACAAGAATTACGTTGCGATAAAATATGACCTACAAACAATACTTCACCCCAATTTCGGACCTGAAAAAGCACGAATTGTGACGCAAATATTATTTGAGCGCAGTCTTCAAATGGCAGAAATTGTCCTCAATGGGAATTAGCCACAATATCTTGTTATTAATTTTCAAATTCACTTTAAGTTAAAATGAAGAAAAATTAGGCGCGTCTCTATGCAGTGACAAAATTCTAAAGTGAGAAAAAACGGAAATGAACGAAAAAGAAAAGGGTCTTTCCTCTTCCCGCTAAAAAAAAAGAAGAAAGAGAGAAGAGACCAAATTATGATGACAATTAAGAATAAAACATAAAAGGGCAAAATAAAATGATTCGCCAACTGAACTAAAATTGATATGCGGATGAAACACATTTATAAGACGGACAGAAAGACATAGAAATTGAAGCATTAAGGAAAAAGTGAATAAGTTCATGGAGCGAATGAAAATAAACAAAAATTAGGTATTCAAAAAACATCACAGAAACAATGTGTTTACGGGTTACCGTTTGTGAAAGAAATGTCCAAATCTTCAAACCATTGGAAATATTGGTTAGATTCTCTGTGTTTCTTATTTTGAATTTATTAAATTCTCTCTCTCTTTCTTAGTCAATGCAGCAATTTTAACATTTTGTCTACGCAAAGGCAAAGTTAGAACGGACAGGCATGCACTGCTTATCTGGCTGTTTGGCTACTATTAAAGCATAATATTCGCGTTGTGTACCTGTACCTATGGCACTTGCCATTGCCGTTCTCGCTGTAATTCGTTCTGCCGCTGACGCAAACGCATCCACCAGCGACAGTCGCAGTTATCGCCGTCGTCGTCAGCGATGTTATTGTTACATTAATTTTATCGTATCCCAACGTATGTGTTCTCTCTTTTGCTTCTCTGTACGTACATGTACACACGATGATGTATGAAATGTTATTTATGTCTTCAAAAAAGTCTTCCATAAATCATTTCATTTTGAACTTCTTGACTAGCCGGTTGTATTATTTTGTCATAAAAAGTATTTTTTTTTAAAAAATATTACCTCATTTCTTTCTTCTTCCAATTAAAAGAAAATAAACTAAAAAAAATCTTCTAATCTTGTGTTTTTTGTGTTTGTGAGAATTTTTTATACGATATAGTTGTATCATCGGTATTCAATAAAACTTGATTTCTTCCGTATTCAAACGTCGGTAATTGTACCGATCAATAATCAATTTATAGTGATCAATTTCATTTTCAAATAAAAGAAAATAACGATTGTCGTTAACAGTTCTCTGAAAGAAAAATGCTATCGCAATATTTCGTGGTTTTATTTCTCCTTTTGCCATTACCAATACCATTGAATAGCATATCATTGAATTCAGCCAGTCAAACCGAAGCATCACAGCAAATTTTTCCATGGATTGATGGTATGTTATAACAGTTATGCAACTTATCACAAGATATAATTTTGTAAGTATATATTTTTTATTCAAGTTAATTATGTGGTCGAATACGGAGAAAAATTTGAAGTGGTCCACACAAATCTAATAAATCATCGTTCAACATTTTATTTAATATTGGTTGTTGGTACCATTCAAACATTTGGTCTTTAAAAATGCTTCTGTTTCTTGTTCGATGAACATATTATTTTTCATTTTTTTAAGAAGAGCCAATGTTTTATAAATACGCTCCGAAAATATTTGCTTGAACATCTCGTTTTCATTTTTCAACTTTGAAACAATTATGAAAAAACTGATTCGTTGATGACGCTAAAAAAAATTTCATTAGCGTCTAATCAAACAAATATTTTATTTGTTTAAATATAGAAAACTTATTTATCCATTTTTGTCCAAAAAATAGGCACATTTCGAGTCATGGGAGGAGATATAGAAGACATAGAAAATAGTCCTTATAGTGTTGTATGTATGGAAAAATTAGAAGATTCAGATCAGTACTTTGGTGGCTCAATTATCACGAAAAACCTTATATTGACCGCCGCTCATAGTTTACAGTAAATATTCCAAAAAATATACGCAAAAAAATCTGGGAAATATTTTTACGATTTTTTCATATTTTTTTTCTACTCTTTATTCGTGTAATTTTAGCAAGGCAAATCTGAATTTCTTGAAGTGTTACGTCGGATCTTCGGTATTACTAAAAGGAAAAGAGGTTGAAATTGCTGAGTTAATAGTTCACCCGTTTTATCAATATCCCATCCAACAATTCGACATTGCAATTATTAGATTAAAGGATAAGTTAACTTTCGAAAACAAGAACATTCAACCAATTGCTCTCCCCGATAAAAACGATAGAATACGAAATGGTGAATTGTGTATGTCTTTTGAAATATCTTCACATTAATATATTTTCTTGAGAAGAAAATGTTAATTTAATCATCATTTTAGGTACTATTACTGGATTCGGTTTTAGAGGAATTAAGGAACTTCCCGTGTCGCTCACATTGCGTTCTTTGAAATTACATGTTCTGAGTTACAAAAAGTGCAATCAATTATATCCGAATCGAAGTCTACCTTATACTATCTGTACTATCCATAGACAATTAGGAAAGGATGCATGTGAAGGTACGGTCATTTTTCGAATTTTTTCAAAACTCTTTGTTTTTGTCACAACTATCACCTCATTGTTGCTCTTTTCAAAACGAAATATAGGTGATAGTGGAGGCGCGGTTACGTGCACAAATGCACATGGAAAACGAATTATTGTAAGAAATCTAATAATAATAAATTTAGATCAGGTATAAAAAGTTTTTTTTCCGTCACATATCGTAGTACGGAGTCATCATGTCTGGCGTCGAGTGCAAACCATTTGGAGAGCCAATGCTTCATCTACCAGGCATAAGCACGAATGTAGTGAAATTTATTGATTGGATACAATCCGTTATAAGTGAAAATATACACGATAAACCTTTTCACGCAGAACCTAGTCACGCAGAACTTCGTATTCATTCAGCACCATATTCATTTTGGAATGCCGACGATTTTGAACAAGGTATATTAAATTAAACTACTTAAGTTTTCATGTACATGACGATTATTATTTTGAATATCATTACAATTATCTTCTGTTAGATGACGGCCACAGTGGCTTTAATCCTGTCGTAGAACGCGAAGGAACCGTACACCACCAACCTCAAGTTGCTGTCGCCCATGCAGCTCCAATCGCTGTCGCACACTCACCAGCCATTGCTCTATCACATGGACAAATTTCTCATCAATCATATTCGTCACCAGTTATTGCGCATCAACCAGAAGTTCAGCAACAACATGTTCTTCAACAACCAGCCCTTGCTGGTTATGCCAGCCAAGGATATGCTGGACACGGAAACGCCGGCCATGCAAGTGGCTACTCGACCATTTCCCAAGTGACTCATCATGGTCATGGTGGCTATCATCAATAAATTAAACGACTTTGCTTTCTATTTACGGTCCTATGATTCTAACGTTAACGCACACAACATTTGTATATATACAACATTTCAATGCACACTTTCTTCTAGAAACGACAAAAAATAAAATTAATTTTTAGAAATAGCAGAAATATGATGAAGTTTCTTTTCAATCTGGTCTTTTTTCACAAAAATAAAAGCAACTCGGTCATATCTTCATTCATTCAAATCAATAAACATTTATTTACATTACAATCTTATATTATATTATTAGATATCATGTAGCCAATATTCTATCTAAAGCATTGAACACACACCATCGTTCCAAATTTGATAATTTCTTGTGGGAAAAAAAGAAATGTTGCATGGAATTTTTCAGAAACAATGAGAATATTTTGTGTGTCCGGTCAGATAAAGGTGGAAAAACTGTATTCATGGAGCGCGATGAGTATTTAAGCAAAGCACTTGATTTATTAAGTGATTCATCTACATATCAAGAAGTGCATAATCCAACAATTGTAATCCAAAAAATCAATAATGCTTTTGTTAAGAAATTATTTGAAGGTGTTAAGATTGACGTTGCGATGAAATACAAATTGACTTGCCACCATGCGTCGGCTCCTTTGATGTATTTTCTACCTAAACATCATAAACAGAACATGCCACTGCGACCGATTGCAGCAGACCTCAATGGACCAACTAGATGTTTGTCTGAATATGCTACTTCAATTCTATCTAAACTCAATAAATCTTCATACCACATTAGAAATCCGTAGGTGCTTGTTTTTTTTATGATTCATTCTAATTTCTATGTATTTACCTTTAAAAAGATTGATTGAATATTTTTTTAGATGCTTGCTACGTGGTGCTTGTAAAATGCTTGCTACGTGCAAAAAAGACATCTTCTCTTGCTTGCATTTTTCTTCATATACCAAATGGATGATGGAAAGAGTGTGGTCGATTTTCCTTTATCATTTTTGATGAAACATGGATAATTCAATTTGATTTTGCGCACATGTATACACATACATACACACATACACATCGTGTACACGTTCGTTCGTTCGTTCATTCGTTATCACACACATATTTCGTTTTAGTTTTAAATATTTGTTGGACAAGTGCAGACATTATTATTTTTTTTTACATCATCATCATCATCGGTTTGACAAAGAGAGAATGAAAATGAAGAAATATAAATGTATATTTCATTCAACGATAGGTGAGATGGACAGCTACAATAGTACATGTAATTGCATGGGGAAAAAAAGAGGTGTGTGGAAATTCTCCTGACTGATTTTCCGCTTTCTCACACATGCGCATGATTGTGAAATTTTATCCACTTTTCCCCTCGCGAATCTCATGCGCATGCATGTGTTTTTTCCCCTCTGAAATTTTTGGCCCCTTTCCCCGCGAGAATTATATGCGCATGCGTGTGTTTTTTCCCCTCTGAAATTGTTGGCCCCTTTCCCCGCGAGAATTACATGCATTTTACTGTCCCCCCTCGCCTATGGTTGGACGAAATGTACATTTATATACTACTCACTATTATTCGCGGATAGAAAACACATCAATTTACAAAGCGAGCTGCATGTTTGATTTTCTGGAATATATTTTTTCTTTGCTCAAAGATTCTTCGATTAAAATTTCTGCATGAATTTCCGCATTGTTTACAAAATCTGCATGAATGAATTATGTAAAAAAAACTATCAACTTTTTTGCCAGCTTTATGTCTGAAATTTTAAACATCGATTTTTTATCATAAAATAACACTAAATTATAAAAATCTGCACTTAAATACACATATTTATTGTTTTAAAAATTACATGTTTGTATATAGCACTCATTTGAGCTGTCAAGCAACATTTCCATATATACAAACATGTAATTTTGTTCATGCAGAAAACAATAAATATGTGTATTTAAGTGCAGATTTTTATAATTTAGTGTTATTTTATGATAAAAAATCGATGTTTAAAATTTCAGACATAAAGCTGACAAAAAAGTTGATAGTTTTTTTACATAATTCATTCATGCAGATTTTGTAAACAATGCGGAATTTCATGCAGAAATTTTAATCGAAAAATTTTTGAGCAAAAACAAAATGTATTCCAGAAAATCAAACATGCAGCTCGTTTTATTAATTGATGTGTTTTCTATCCGCGAATAATAGTGCAGATTTCGCGAAGTGGGTGACTGTAATGACAGACGTAAAATTATTTGTTTAGTGTATGTCTAGCTGCATGGTTCAATATAGTTTTCTGACATAAAGCAAAAAAAAAGTTACTTGTTAGAGTGGTCTCTTGGTCTATCGTCATTTTGGCTGTATTTTTCGTTTTTTTGGCTGTATTTTTCGTTTTTTTTAATGAGTTCGTTAAGGACAATTGGTTCCAATCACTGTGGATGTTCGGTCAAATGCAACGCCAAATCGAAGTGTTTCATCAATATGCACAACAATGGCATGCATTCAGTCGCGATGGATTGATAACGAACAATCGACCGCCAAAAGTGAACAATTTCGCACTTGTCCCGTTATGCCGATTCCAACTGAAAAACGTTCGATTGGATATGAAAGATATGTATTATTTGGCGAACACTGTACTAGGAGTGGTGCCCAGTTCTCGCAATCCGCTGACCAATCGAATGAACAAATACACACTGGACTATTACATGAACGGCCATAGAGATGAATTGTGGCATTTGGTTTTCGACATGGATAAAATCAAACAAATCGGCAAGCAGAAGCGGTTTCACTCGCAAATCATCACCAATAGTGTTTGCGTGTCAATATTGTACGAGAAGCCAGCGAAAGCTCCCAAGTCAGTATAATACACTTTTCGAAGAGTGTACACTAGGGTGTTTCCACATGAAAAATATTAAAAAGTGGCTATTATCATTTTGAAGAGCGTTAAATTCTGTATAAGATGATTTGATTTTTGATACTGATTGGTTGCCGATGTGACTTCCTGGACTAAAAACACATTTGTAAATTGATTTCATGTCGCATTCACGCCAAAATCTGTAATTGATGAAAATATAAGATTTAACAAAATTAAAAACATGAAAAATAATTTTAATATCAAAATAATTGCCCAAATATTAATAAAAGTAACACAAAAACTCACAATTTTACCACAATAAACCAAAACAATGCAAATTCGCCAATTCATTTGACAGAATGACATTTGAAGCGTGATTCGCTCACGCATGACAAATGACAGGTTATGTGTCAAATGAATTGGCAATTTTGCATTGTTTTGGTTTATTGTGGTAAAATTGTTAGTTTTTGTGTTACTTTTTAAATATTTAAGCAATAATATTGATATTAAAATTATTTTTCATGTTTTTAATTTTGTTCAATCTTAAAATTTCATTAATTACAGATTCTGGCGTGAATGCGACATGAAATCAATTTACAAATGTGTTTTTGGTCCAGGAAGTGACATCGGCGACCAATCAGCATCGAAAATCAAATGATCTTATACAGAATTTTACGCTCTTCAAAATGATGCTAGCCACTTTTTAATATTTTCCAAGTGGAAACACCCTAGTGTACACTGTACACACTCTCCTCACACTCTTCGTATATAGTTTTATTCGACTCCCTTCTCACACTCTTCTCACACTCACGTTGGTGTTCAGTGTTCATATTAATTGATTAATGTTTTGTGTTTGTTTCTGATTTTATAGGAATGTGTCGTCTTTTTGGCATACCATTGCCCGATTCGTTGAAGAGAACTGACAATCCACACAAATGCGAACAATGTCAACTGATAGCAGCATAAAATCAACAATAATCATAAGAAGAATATTTTAACCAGGCTGTGTGTTTTGTATAATTTCAGCAGGCACTGCTATTTCTAGCACGATAGCTATGCTCTGCCTAAGTTTCACGCATTGCATACCGCATTGAAATCGATGCCTGTTTACAGTGTGTGTTCATTACGCGGCAATAGCGATACCGTGTATTACGCAGCATTCATGCATGTGTATTGATGGTTTACGGTGTCGCTATTGCCGCGTAACGAACACACACTGCTTACAGCAGTCACCGATTTCAATGCGGTATGCAATGCGTCAGTGTTACAGTGTTGTAGGTGACCTGAAGGTGACCAAACTGGTGAGCCAAAATAAAGGCACAAGGAAATTATCGTTCGTTTCCTTTAAAATAGATGTGCCTAATCATTATTTCGACATTATTATGGACAGTTCCATTTGGCCACCGGGCGTTAAAGCCAAAGAATTTGTTGAAAATTCACTGCCTGGCAATAACAACTCTAAATCAGTTCCACCTCCCAAACGAACTGTAAAGAATCCAAAAAAGCAAGAATCATGCCTCGATCAGGCCCCCAATTCTTGGTCGAAATCAACGAAAGGCACATCAAAGGCAAACAATGTCACCGGAAATTCCACCGATTGCCAACTTGTTGCCGCTGCTGTCTCAATGCCTACTCAGTCCACTGATGGATTCGTACAGTCAGCCTCAACAAAATCCTCGCATTTAGG